TGCCTTACTTTATCATGCTATTTCTAGCATAGGATAATCATATGCATGCATGAATTGCTTGATTTCCTAGGCTAGGTGCTTTCCTATAATTTATTTTAGTTATAGCACCGAGCTAGGTTGCGTGCACCAAATTCTGGCCTTTTCGGTTGCCACCAAATTGCCTTCTACCGAATTCGGTAAGGATCTGTTTGGGATGCTACTCGGCCCGCGGAACCTTCGCGTAACACCTGGTTACGGGGCCTTGTGTGGAGCCTATATATAGCCTCGTGTTGTACCCATGTGATCATTCAATTCGACTCAATTCTCATTCTCTTTTCTGAGCTTGATCATAGATCCTCACACTTGGTAATCAGAGCCCGTTTAGACGCGAAGTTCTTTCGACCGCTAAAAACCAGTCTTCAAAAACTGCGGGGGCGACGCAGTCAAACATCGATTTCGGGTACGTAAAACCGGTTCCGTGTTTTTCGCTCCCCCTCGATTCGGTTTTTTCGGACGCGTTGATGTCAGGCATGTAGGGATAAGGAGACAACTACGCGACTACAAGCGACATCGCGAGCCTCCGCACCGACATGGAGCAGACGCAGGCGACGCTTCGTCAACTCGAGGCTTTTTTGACAAGCCAACCAGGGTTTGCCATCGCAGCAGCAGCGACCGCAGCAGCTGCAGCACCGACAACTCCAGCAGCAGTGGCGACACCGACATTTCACGGACCAATGGCACCACTATCGCCGAACCTCGAAGCAGCACGACCGAGGCCTCCGGAGGCGTTCGATCCAAGTGCGAAGGGATCCGACGTCCGGTGATTCGTGGCCACCCTCGAAATTTACTTCGAGGCCATTGGCTGTTCGAGCCCGCAACACGATGCAGCAAGGATTCGGCTCGCAGCGACACTGTTACGTGGACCGGCTCTCGAATGGATTTACTACACCGACGTAGCCCGTGAGGAGAAAACGAGGCAGCAGTTTTGGTCAGATTTAATCGAGTGTTTCGAACCAATTAATACAACCTACAAGGCGCGGCAGCAGATACACCGACACAAGCAATACAGTAGTGTAACACAGTACACGCAGCAGATGGAGTTACTAATCAACCGCATCACCGACCTGACCGAAGGCGAAAAAATCCAGGCGTACACCGAAAGGTTAAAAATGGAGATTCGGCGGCAGGTGATTGCGGTGAATTACAACAGCTACAGAGACATCGTGCGTGCTGCCGAGCGATACGACACGCTGACTCAAGGTCAACCCGAAACACGACGCTTCACGCCGAACCGTACATTCGGCACGGAGTGATTGGCACCCCCCACGTTCGCCGAACCGATGGATATCGACAAATAGGACGCGAAGCAGCAGCCGACAAAATGCGAATTTTGCGGCGCAGCAGGACACCAGTTTTTGTCGTGCTACAAAATGAAGAAAGCACGTGCGGCACTCCGGGACGGAAACAGTGGAGCACCCCGGAAGTAAAAAAACGGGAATCGCCATTAGCCGCGGATCGACCTGGCGATCGCGTAAAGATCCGAAAAGCCTTACTTCACGTCCATGTGAAGAGTTTGAAGCGAAGCCTTGTGAAAGTAAGAGGTAGACAGTTTAGGAAAGAAGAGAGGGGTTCACTAGAAAGCAGCAGGATACATGTATGAAACCCTAAAGGGGTTGTGCTCGCTATAGAATACCCCACTGCAGGCTAGAGAACAATAACATTCTGACACACCCCCATAGCCAAAGTGGGGTGTAATCAGCAGAGCAAGAAAAGCAGAACAAGCTCAGGGTGGATCACAATGTCACCACACATTCTGAGCACAAGTACAAGAAGAAATAGTTTAAAGTTCACAATTATGAGCAAAGCTAGTGGTAGTCACAGCGGGCACGGGAGGAGGAGGAGGGACTGTAAGAGGAGAGGAGATAGGAGGCGACGGCTGAAGCTGCAGACACACGGGCAACAGGAGTCACATTGGCACAGCGGCTACCGGAACAACGCTCCGGACTACTGGAGTAACTGGCCTCGTGGCTAAAAGTAGCGGCAGACGAGCAACGGACCCACGGGCGACTGGCACAGCTGGCTGCGACTGGGCTACCGGAGCAACTCCTCGGACTACAGGTGCTGCTGGCGACACGACGGCAACCTCCGTGCAACCTCCCTAGATAGTTCCACTCCCCCTGACACACACCCCCTGCTTCACCCCTAGCTCCACTCCCCCTTCACCCCCCTTAGTACCACTCCGATGGCTCCAACAGGTCCACCCCCCTCAGCAGGAGCAGCAGCACTGGGAGACAGAGGAGGAGGAGAAGCATGGGACGGCACACAGAAGCTGCACCCCCATACCCCTCACCCCCAAACCCTAGTCCAGGAGAACGGGCAGCAGGAGGGGTGGGGCGCCATCAGAGGCACGGGGGACAGCGGGCAGCGCAGGGGCAGCAAAGAACGGGCCGCCCACGGGCTTGGCACAGCCGCCCGAACCGCGCACAGGCAGCCCGAGCCACGCGCGGGCCTGGCGCAGCCTGTACGGGCCGCGCGTGGGCCTGGCGCAGCCCGTACGGGCCGCGTCTGGGCCTGGCGCAGCCCGTATGGGCCACGCGCAGCCTGTACCGGCTGCGCGCCGGCCATGACGGGCGACGGAGAGCGACGCGCGGGTCCCCGTCGCCCGTCGCAGCGCCTCCTGAGAAAGTTAGAACGAGAATGAAATGACTAAGTGAAAGTTGGGTACAAATACAAACCCTAGAAAGCTGTACCCCATATGTGCTACCCCACTATAGCCTACAATAGCTATGTCATATATATCTGACACCTCCCGGCTGGAACGCGGCGAGTGACGGGGCAGAAACCCGCCGCGCGCCTCGGGGCGCACGGCGGGCAGAGAACCGCCGCGCGCCTCGGGGCGCACGGCGGGCAGAAAACCGCCGCACGCTCCGAGCGCGCAGCGGGATGAAAAATCCGTCGCACCCCACAGGGCGTGCGACACAGAGAATAGCAGTAGCAGCGGAAGCAGTGAGGTGGCGAGCCCACCCACAGGATCGACCCAAGGGGATCGACCTGCTCTAATAGCAGGTCGATCCCCTTGGCGCAGAACTCAGCAGGAAGCGCAGCGCGGTAGCGAGTATCACTAGTGTGGAGGTGCGCCATGAGGTCAGCGACTGTGGGAAAGGCAGCAAGGTCAAGGAAGAGGTACGGTAGCATGAGGCGGCTCAGTGCAGCAGTGGCAGGGGAAGAGTATCGCGCAACTACAGCGTCGTACAAAGTCTGAGAACTCTTGTACTGACTAAAGTGCGCACGCTCAGAGGTAGGCAGGTGGCGACGCACAGCAAGACGTGCAGCAGCATCGCGTGTGGCCCATTGTGAGCGAACAGTGGCGTCGGCATCAGCAGTAGGGACAGGAGAGGCAGAAGAGGTGAGGTCAAAGAGGGAGAGACCGTCTGCCCTATCTCACTATAGGAAAAGCTGCAGGTCATCTACCCAGACGTCAAAGTCAATGGCCCGACCCTCAGCGTCAAAAGCGAGGACACTAGGGGTAGCCATGACAGCAGTAGGCTAGCAGCGCGAACAGTAGGGTAAGGGCACTGCAGTGACAAAAGCGCTGCTCTTACCGGACAGGGTGGCTCGGGCGGCTCGGCAACTCGGCAACTCGGCGGCTTGGGCGGCTCAGGCGGCTCGGCGGTACGGCGGCTTGGCAACAACTGCGGTTCGGCGACTCGGCGGCTCGGGCGGCTCGTCGGTACAGCAGCTCGGCAGCAACTGCACCCGGCGGCTCGGGCGGCTTAGGTGGCTCGGCGGCTTGGGCGGATCGGGCGGCTCGGCAGCAGCTCGGCTGCGCCGGCGGCTCGGTGATGACGGCGGGGTCGCGTGGGCACGGCGGCGGGGCCGGGTGGAGCGGCGGCGGGGCTGGTTGGAGCGGCGTCGGGGCCAGTAGAGGCAGCGTCGGGGCCGCAGGGGTAGGCGACGGGGCCAGTAGAGACGGCGCCGAGGTAGGGAAGGGCGGCGCCAGGGCCGCAAGGGTAGGCGACCGGGCCAGCAGAGGTGGCGCCGAGGCAGGGAAGGGCGGCGCCGGGGCCGCAGGGGTAGGCGACGAGGCCAGCAGAGGCGGCGCCGAGGTAGGGAAGGGCGGCGCCGGGGCCACAGGGGTAGGCGACGGGGCCGATAGGGCGGCTAGGAGGGGAGGGAGGGGTCGCGAGGGCGGCTTGAAGAGGCCGCATGGGCGGCGTGAAAGGGCCGCGAGGGCGGTGCCGCGCGACGGAGCTGCGAGGGCGGCGGATCGGGGCCGCGAGGGCGGCGCGACACGGCCGCTAGGGCGGCGCGACGTGAAGGGGCCGCGAGGGCGACGCGACGAGGCCGCAAGCGCGGCGCGACGGGGCCGCTAAGGCGGCGTGTTAGGGTCGAAAGAGCGGCACAACGGGGCCGTGAGAGGGGAGCGCAACTCGGGCTGTGTAGAGCGTGCTTCGGGCAGGAAAAAGGTGGTGGGCCCTAGGAGCAGTTTCCACAGGGGAACCTGCGCTGATACCATGTGAAGTAAGAGGTAGAAAGTTTAGGCAAAAAGAGAGGGGTTCACTAGGAAGCAGCAGGATACATATATGAAACCACTGCAGGCTAGAGAACAATAACATTCTGACAAGACTCTGTCGGGGGAAACTCGGAGGAGTGAGGGGCGGCGCGCTGCCGCCCCTCGACGCAGGGAACGCAAGTAGGGGCAGGCCCCGAAGGGAGGGGAGAGAGGGACCGGGGGAGACGAGAGACAAGGACACGAAAGGCCATGGCTCGGAGACGAGGCCAGGAGGGGTGACCAAGGCGGTGGTGCCAGAGGAGAGTCTGGTGAGACAGGAGATGACACGAGCAGGGGGCAGACTCAGGACCAGACCTGGACGTCGCAGCAGACGCCTGACCCGACGCAACTACCTGACCAGACGCAGTAGACTGAGGAGGACCAGTAGTCAATGTATACAGGCTCGTCTGAGCACACGTGCAATGGGTCACTCGCTGACTCGCAGGAGTGAACTGGTGAACCCCCCATCCTATAGATCTGCACCACTCACCAAGTTCGTAGAGAACGAGGGGAGGTAAAGACCTGACAGGGTGCCAGAGGGGGCCGCCGGACCCGGAAAGATAGTAGAGAAGTGGGCAAGGACAGGAACCCCGGAGGGGTCTGCCAAGGAGACCGCCACGGGCCGACTAAGCGGCGTGAGTGTGGTGCGGTCTCGAAAGAAGGAGCGAGAAGTACCCGAGTCAAGGGTGAAGGTGTGGGAGACTTGAGCCGATGTGGTACCTGAGAGAGCAAACTCACCAGTACCTGGGGCAGCAGACGCACTAGCACCGAGAGCAGTAGCCTCACCAGCACCTAGAGCAGCAGCCTCACCAGCACCTCGAGCAGCAGCCTCAATGCCCGGGTCAGGCGGAACACACAGGTATACGTCACCCTCATCACTAGTAGACACAGCATACATGGCAGCAAGAATAACATCATAGTCAAGATCAAAGATAGCAACCCCCGCCCTAGACAGCTCTCCCCAGCAAGTGATCTCTGTGGCGTCAAGGAACTGGTGACGCCAAGCATCCGTCAGGCGGCCGAAGCATCGCTCGGTGGAGTGCGAGCCCCCGCACTGCTCACCAGCGCGGTCGCCGGTACGGAGGACGTAGGTAAAGGGACCAGTACCCCCACCGCGTTGACGCCCAGGGTACCACTCACGAAGCTACTGGGGGGACGGGGTCTCACGAGTGCGCAGCTGCAGCTGGCGCGGACCACCTCCGGAGCCACTCCTCTGTGCAGAGCCGCGACCAGCTCCACCACCGCCGCCGCCGCCTCCGCCACCTCCACCGCCTCCGCTCCCTCCGCCACCGCTGCCGCCTCCTCTCCCTCCACTGCTGCCACCGACACCTCCACCCCCGCCACCACTCCCACCACCACCCCCAGCCCCTCCACTGCCTCCACCGCCACCTCCACCGCCCCCGCCAGCCCCTCCAGCGCCCTTGCCCCCCTTGCCCTTGCCGGTGCGGCGTCGCCCGCTAGGGGCAGACGCAGCGCCGACCGACTCGAAGCCAACGAGGTTGGCCGCAGCTATAGAAGCAACAGAGGGCAAGAGGGGGGAGGGGGAAGACCCCTCAAAGATGGGGGTACGAGGGTCACCACGAGAGGCTCCTACAGCGACTATGCTCTTCTCTGCTGCCAGGAGGCGCTCCTCAAGGAGGTCACCGGTGAGTGTGGTGGGGCAAAATCAGAGGAAGTGGTCCCTGACTAAGCGAAGGGAGCCAAGGAGCCGGGTGACTATGTAGTAGAGGGTGATGTACATGGGGGGAGGGTTCTTGGAACAGAACTCAGCAGGAAGCGCAGCGCAGTAGCGAGTGTCACTAGTGCAAAGGTGCGTAATGAGGTCTGCGACTGTGGGAAATGCAGCAAGGTCAGGGAACAGGTACGGGAGTATGAGGCGGCTAAGAGCAGTAGTGGCAGGGGAAGAGTAGCGTGCAACTACAGCGTCGTACAAGGTCTTAGCACTCTTGTACTAACTAAAGTGCGAAGGCTCAGCGGTCGGTAAGTGGCGACGCACAGCAAGACGGGCAGCAGCATCGCGTGTGGCCCACTGTGAGCGAACAGTGCTGTCAGCATCAGCAAGCGGGGCAAGAGAGGCACCACAGGTGAGATCGAACAGGGAGAGTCTGTCTGCCCTATCGCACTGTAGGAAAAGCTATAGGTCATCGACCCAGACCTCGAAGTCAACAGCACGACCCTCAGCATCAAAGGTAAGGACACTGGGGTTAGCCATGACAGCCGTGGTCTAGAAGGGAGTGCTCTTACCAGTCCGGGTGGGTAGGGCCGGGGCGCGCCGGTAGGAACAGGGCTGCAACTGTGGTGGCAGCGGCTCGGCAGTGGTAGTGGTGGCTCAACGGCAGCGGCTCGGTAGTGGTAGTGGTGGCTCGACGGCGGCCTCGGCGGCTCGGGGGCTCGGCGGCTCTGCTGCTTGGCGGCTCGGCGGCTCGGCGGTTCGGCAGCTCGACGGCTCGGCGGCTCGGCGGTTCGGCGGCTCGGGGGCTCGGCGGTTCGGCTGCTTGGCGGCTCAGCGGCTCGGCGGCTCGGCGGTGAAGGGTCCGGGGAGGGGTCAAAAGGGGGGGCGACGGGGCCGCAAGGGGCGGCGACGGGGCCGCTAAGGGCGGCGACGAGGCCGCGAGAGGGCGGCACTGGGGCCGCGAGAGGGCGGCGACGCGGCCGCAAGAGGGTGGCACTGGGGCCGCGAGAGAGGGCGGCGACGAGGCCGCTAGGAGCGGCTGCGAGGCCGCAACAGGCGGCGACGCGGCCGCTAAGGGCGGCGGCGGGGCCGCGAACGGCGGCGAGGGGGCCGCGAGAGGGCGGCGACGGGGCCGTGGAGGTGGGGCCGCAAAGGGCCGCTGAGGGCGGCGCGATGGGCCGCTCAGGGCGGCGCAACGGGCCGCTAGGGGGCGGCGATGGGGTCGCGAGGGGCCGTGAGAGGGTGGAGCCGCTAAGGGCGGCGCGACGGGTCGCTAAGGGGAGGGTGGCACACAGGGCGCGCCTCGCTCAGGGGCGACTCGATCCCAGGGCAGGAAAAAAAACGAAAACCTGATTTTCACTGGTGGGCCTTTGGAAAAGTTCCCACTAGGGAACCTGGTCTATACCATGTGAAGAAATGAGGAAATGAATGAACTAGCAAGCAGGGGGGTACAAGTAGGAAAACCTAAAAGTGTTGTACCCTATATTGTCCACCCCACTACAGCCTACACAGACTAGAGCATATGAGTTTGACGAAAACTTCTCCATCATGCCTATGTCGAAGCCTGTCGTTTGGTTTGCAGGGGTCTCAGTAGACTCCGCTGCTGGTCTTGTTGGTGTACCTCCTTCAGTTTGTAGGCCGGAGACTGGAGGTGGAGTAGGAGTAGTGTCAGGAGAGCCGTTAGAGGAGCTTCTATCCTCTTGCGTTGCCATGCCTTCTGAATTTGAAGGACTTGTAGGGAACTTGAATGTAGTTGAATTTGCCTTGACAGCTCTCATACCATGTTGGGCTCAGAACAGCCCTTAGGATCTTTTCAAGGCTATTTGTGACTACAAGTGTTGTATTTGCGGAAGTGTTTTAGTAATAAGTGTTACTAGAACGCTTGCGCTAGTGTGTGAGGGCAAGTTAGTTTGATTAAAGCAAGAAGATACAAGGTTTTATAAGAGTACAAGGAATATGAAAAGATGCAGCTTAATAACCGTTTTACTGTTGCTGTTGCGGTTCGATACAGTGACGACTCGGGCAACTGCTTAATAACGAGTTAGTTGTTTGTCCTTGCTGTCGCGCTGTACTTGTCAAGTCAAAGGTCGCTGACCTTTGACCTTCGCGTAACCTCCAGCAGTTACTTCTCTTGTCAACCTCCGATGGTTGACTCGCCGTTGTTCCTCTATAGTTCGCCTCGTTTGTAGTTCGGTGTTACGACACATAAGAAAAGTTTAATTAATTGTTTCCAACATTACCACGCGTCACATCAACCTCACAACACTCGGAAACCTTCAAGCTTCAACTGCCGTGCCCAAGGACAAAAGTTTTGACCTAGGGTTTGTTACACATTCGTGACGATAATGATATTGTTTTGCAGCCCACCAAATCATCTTGCCTAAACCACGGTATAGTGGAAGCTCTCAAAGTAGCTTAGCGGAATGATTGGATTAGGGTTGTGAAAGCATACAAGTAGGATACCTAACAAAGTGTTGTACTCCCTAAGGAGCAACTCACTACAGCCTATCACAAATATAACATTTGACACACCCCCATAGGCTAAGTGAGGGGCATCAAAGCAAGCAAGGCGAGCACACGGTCACAAGACCAGTCAATGCAAGAAACAAGGCAAGCTCAGGGTGGATCTCAAGGACACCACACAAATTCCGAGCACATGCAAGTGGCCACAAGGCCAGTTCAAGGGTTCACTAGATTATAAATAGGAAACACAACAAGCAGAGCAAGAAACAAGACTACAGCAACTTAGGGCCAACCTCAACAAGCCCCAACTGCACACAGAACCTGTGGTGGTCACCAAGCGCTAAGGCCTTGGTGAAGACGTCTGCAGTGTTGGCCTCTGAGGCCACAAAGTCCAGGCGGGCCTGGCCGCGTCGCTGCAGCTCTCGCAGGAGGAAGTACCTCACGTCAATGTGCTTCACTCTGCTCTCCAGTCGAGGCTCTCGACACAGGAGGATCATGGCCTTGTTGTCAGCGTACAAGGTCGGTGCAGAGCGAGGCCGCTCACCAAGGTCGGCGAGCAAGAAGGTCAACCAGCGAAGCTCCTGTGCCGCCATGGCACCAGCGTAGATCTCAGCCTCTGCGCTGGAAGTAGCCACAGACGACGACCGTGTAGACCTCCACGACACAGCACCAGCTCCCAGACTGAAGCAGTAACCCTGAGTCGAGCGCTGAGTCTCCACGTCGTCAGCGTAGGAAGAGTCGCAGTGACCAGTCAACGCCAGTGGCTGAGTCCCTCCAAGCACAAGCCCCACTCCTGCTGTAGTCGCCAGGTACTTCGCCACCCTCACAGCTGATGTCCAGTGGACAGGACGGTGTCTCCCAGTCGCAACAAAGCGCGAAAGGATGCTGAGGGGAAAGGCGAGGTCCGGCCGAGTACAGGTCATCAGGTACATGAGGCAGCCCACCAGCTCTGCGTAAGGACCACTGGACTCGAAGGGCTCGTTAGGAAAGGGGCCCGCGAGTCTGTGGTCAACAGCAAGAGGAGTGGGCTGTGCGGTGGAGAACTGGAAGTCGAACCGCCGAAGGACCTGCTGCACCATGTGTGACTGCGTCAGTGTGATGGTGCGAGCGGCTCTGTCCCTGGTGATCTGCAGGCCAAGGTAGCGCTGCAGTTCACCCAGGTCAGTGCACTTGTGTCTCTTCTGCAGTTCCGACTTCACCTGAGCCAGCGCTGCCCTGTCTGCTGTAGCAAAGACCAAGTCGTCGACGTAGACAAGTATAAAGAAAGGAGTAGAACCCTCCCGAACAAACAGTGAAGGGTCGGCAGTCGACGGTCTGAAACCAAGGTCACGAAGCGTGGAGCGAAGAGTGTCGTGCCACTCTCGGGGCGACTGGCGGAGACCGTAGACTGGTCGGCGCAGGCTCCACTAAGTCCCAGGAGGGAAGGTGTCAGTGAAGCCAGGCGGACGAAGCAGCCAGATCTCCTCGTGTAGTCGGCCCTGGAGGAACGCAGTGGAGAAGTCGAGGGAGTGCAGCTCGTAGTCTCGCTGCGCTGCTATGTGAAGTAACACCCGAAGAATAGTCATCTTCGGGGTCGGAGCAAAGGTCTGGAAGAAGTCAACTCCCTCATGCTGACTGAAGCCCCTAGCCACGTAGCGCGCCTTGAACACCGGAGGTGCTCCAGGCGGCCGCTTCACCTTGAAGAGCCACATGCCATCGACTACGTTCGCCCTAGGAGGGGGAACTGCGTCGACGTAAGTGCCTGTGGATCTCCAAGACGCCAACTCTGAGTCCATAGCCGCTTTCCACTGAGAGGCCCACTTCCCTGACACAGCCTCGCGGTAAGTGCGAGGAGTCGGTATGTCCAGGGCGTCGGGGTCTCCCTCAGGGGAGAGCAGCATGGCACAGACAGAAGGAGAAGCGGCTGCCCAGTACTCCAGCTCAGACTCCCTGTCCTCTAGGACGTCACAGCCAAGGGCAAACTCACCTCCGACGGACAGAGGACGGTAGGGAGGAGCAGGGACCACACGGGTAGCGTAGTCAAGGCGGCTAGCGGCAGCAAACTCAGCGACAGCGGCAGTGAGAGCGGAGGCAGACGACGGGGGGAAACGAGAGTCGGTGACAAGAGTGGCTAGGACACGGGAGGCAACAGGACGAACAGTGCGGTAGTAGTCAGTGATCGGAGTGGGGAGGGTGGGGAGAGAGGACAGAGGAGGAGACGGGAGAACGGACACAGGAGACGGAGAACGGCGACGAGACGAACACAGGAGGGCAGTGTGGAGGTCAGTAACAGGGGACGAGTGACGAGCACGCGGGGGACAACGGGTGACCAAGTCACGACTGTCTAGGACTACAGGAGGAGGAGACTGTGGCGGAGAGAACGACCTGACTGCTGGACTAGCGTCCGGAGGAGGAAACGTAGGACCAAACACAGGAGGAGAGGAGGAAAGGCCAAGGGCCCGCAGGCCACTCACAGGGGGGAACAACTGCCGCTCCAGAGGGAGCTGTGGCGGCGGCTGCGGCGGCGGCTGCTGCTGCAGCTGCTGCGGCGGCTGCTGCTGCTGCTGCTGCTGCTGCCGCTGCTGCTCCAGGAGGTCCAGTACCCGCAGCTCCTGCCGCTCCCTCTCCAACCGCTCCTGCTCCTCACGCTCACGCCGGCGGGCAGCCTGGAGATGTGTGTCGTGGCGGTGGGGAGGCGGAGTGGACTCCGCAGACCCAGGGTCAGACTCCTCAGACTCAGCACCCCCAGAACCAGCACCTCCAGCTCCAGCACCCCCAGAGCTAGCGCCACCTGCGCCAGCACCTCCAGCTCCAGCACCCCGCGACCGAGTACCCCCAGACCGAGCACCGCCAGCAACTGCACCTCCAGCTCCAACACCAACCGAGTCCACAGTAACCTGTCGCGGAAGTGCCGAAGGCTGCTGAGGGGACTGTGAGGAGGACTGTGGGGAGGGAGACGCTACCTGACGCGCGACCGAGGGTAGAGGGGTAACGTGGGACACACCAGACGGGGCAGGACCCGGGGGGGGCGGGGGTACCGGAGGGGCGGGAGCAGGAGGAGGAGAGGGTGCGAGGAAAAGAGGGGGAGGGGGTACCGGGAGACCTCGACAGGGGTACCGGGTGTAGTAGGACACGGACTCGTCAAACCGGACGTCACGGGAGTCTAGGAACTGGTGGAGGGGAGGGTGGTAAAAGGTCCAGTCAGCAGAGCCGACCGGGAACCCAAGGAAGACACAGTCGATGGCGCGTGCCGAGAGCTTGTCCGCAGAGGTGTCGCGGACTTGCGCAAGGCAGCCCCAGACTCGAAAGGCCGACCCAACACCAGGGGAACCAGTCCAAAGACTGGTCGGTGAAGCCTCGGGCCGCGAGACACGCGGCTGGAGGTTCAGCTGGTGTGCGGCGTAGCGAACTGCGTAGGGCCACAAAAAATGGGGCGTGAATCATGGACGTGCGAGCAATGTCCATGACCATGCCAATGCGGCGCTCAGCAACCCCATTTTGCTGTGGGGACTCTGGCAGCGTCCAGGACTGGGTGATGCCCTGTTCGCCGCAGAATCCGGCAAGAATGTCGGAGCGAAACTCGCCCCCTCGGTCGGAGTGGAGACAACTGACTCGACGACCATGAGTGCCCTCAGTGGCCAAAAGCCACCTGATCAGCGTAGCAGTCACCTCGGACTTCTTCGCAAGAGGGAACACTGTGGTGTACCTGGAGAAGTCGTCGACGACCACCAGAAAGTAGCGCTCCCTCCCGGACCCCTGTGTCGGGGCAGGGCCCCAGACGTCCAGGTGGAGAGTCTCGAAGGGAGCGGTGGCCGGACGAAGGGAGGAGGAGTGGGGAGTGGCGCGTAAGCGACCGGCGACGCACGGAGAGCAAGGAGGGGCAGGCGAGAGAGGGAGCGACGGGAAGGTGCGTGGGAGACCTGAGACAAGTCCCTGACTGAGCATGCCACGTAGGTGAGGGAGCGACGGGTAGCCAAGGCGGTGGTGCCACAGGACGGTGCGGTGGGTGAGAGAGCGACAGGAGCACGACGCAGCGACGGGGCTGGACACAGCGACCGGACCGGACACTACTACCTGGCTAGACACAGCAACTGGACTGGGGACCTGGGCCGGAGGGGACGCAACGACCTGAGGGGAGGACGCGACCGGGGAGCGCTCGGTGTGGAGGACGTAGAGACCGGAGCGGGGCTCCCGGGTGAACGTGGCCAGAACAGCACCTGTGGTAGCGTCTGTACAGACTGCAGTCCGCCCACCCCCCACGAAGGTAACCGTGATCACCCTGTCCTGGAGGTATCCAGCACCCACCAAGTTCCGAGTGAACGAGGGGATGTGGAGGCCGCGTAGGACACCAGAGGGGACCACAGGGCAGGGGAGGGTGGTGGAGCTGCGCGCAACGGCTGGTCCTGAGGTAGGATCAGCCAGAGCCACCGACACAGGTGTGAGGAGTGGGGTAAGGGTCGTGTGGTCGCGGAAGAAGCACTGAGACGCGCCCGAGTCCAGCGTGAACGACAGAGAGGCCTCAGCCGGAGGATCACCTGACTCAGTCGCTACACAAGCACCTAGAGCAGCAACACAAGCACCTAAGCTAGACAGGCACAAGGCTACACTAGCAGGAGGCAAGCAGGCTAACCTACGAACACGCGAGCAAATAGATCCATCAGCACTAAAGTCAGCATCAACAAACAAAGCATGCTGACGCGCATCGTCCATGGACAGATCAAATACATCAATCTTACGGGCTAACAGACGAGACCAGCGAGGCGTGACCGCCTGAGGGCCCCAGCGAGCCCGGTAGAGGTCGTCGAGGCGGCGGAAGCACCGCGCGGCAGAGTGGTCGTCGCGACCACAGAGGCAGGGGCTGCCCGGCCCGGTGAGGCACCAATGGGTGCAGGGGCCCCCGTCACCGCGAGGGGGACGAGGGGCCCAGCTGGAAGTGCTGCTGCTGCGGCCGGTGCTCCGTGGGCCTCCCTGACCCCACTGTGGCGGGGGACCCCAGTGCTGCTGCGGACCCCACTGCAGCGGAGGGCCCCACTGCTGGAACTGCTGCTGTGCCTACTGCTGCTGCTGTCCCGGCTGCTGCTGCTGCTGCTGCTGCACCTGCTGTGGCTGCTGCTGCTGTGGCTGCTGTTGCTGTCCACCCCCACCGGTCGGACCACCACCAGTAGGCGGGCCTGTCTGTCCTGCACCTCCTCTAGGGCCCCCTCCTCCCGGTGCACCACCACTGCCGCCGCCGCTGCTGCCGCCGCCGCCCCCCCCACCACCGCCACCTCCACCGCCGCCTCCACCGCCTCCACCTCCCCCCCTACCGCCCCTCTTGCCGCTCTTGCCCCGTTTCTGCCAGTCTGCGGCAGAAACGGCAGCAGTGTCCTCAGAAACCGACACAGTAGCAGAAGGACGGGTAGCAGTGAACGTGGGAAGCTGGGGGGCGGCACACCCCGCAAAGAGACGGGGAGCCACCGCGTCAGTGGCGGAGGCAACGGTGAGGAGGCTGCTCTCGATCTTCCCGAGAGCGGTCTCAAGGAGATCGATGGTGAGCTCAGTGGGGTGCTGCTGCAGGAGCGCGTCGCGGGCAGTGGCAAGGCGGTCAGGGAGGCGGGTGACTAACCAGTGCACAGTGAGCCACAAGGGGGGGGGAGCCGCTAGAAGCTGCTCGTCGGTACAGGCCGCACGGAAACTAGCGTCAAGCGAGCGGAGGTGGGTCACAAGGTCAGACACAGTCGCAAACGAGCCTAGGTCGGGGAACACAAACGGCATCAGGATGCGACTGAGGGAGGCAGAGGAGGGGGTGGAGTAGCGGGCAACAATAGCATCCCAAACCCCCTTGGCTGTCTCCACCTGGTCAAAGTGGGCGGCCTCAGTCGGCGGGAGAAGCTCCGTCAGTGTGAGGGCGGCGGCAGCGTCACGCGAGAGCCACACGTCCCTGGCCAGGACCCGACGCTCGTACTCCGCCCGGGCCGTAGGGGTCGGCTCCGAGGTGGTCGGCAGGGCGGCGGGGGACGGGGGCTCCTGGAGGGCACCAGACGCGTGAGCCCACAGAGTGGCGTTGTCCTGTCGCTGACTGGTGAGGAAGCGCGTGGTCTGACGCCGCCAGGTACCGAACTCGATCGGGCGTCCCTCCGCGTCGAAACGGAGGCGACGGGACTCCATAGCGGACGTCATGCTAAAGGCGGCTGGAGCACGGCAGAGTCGGAGCTAGGAACGAGGAGGATGCTAGAGGCGGAGCTAGGAACGTGGAGGACTGGCACTGAGGGCGAGAGGCGCCAGTTGGAGAGCTAGGGAGAGAAACGGCTGCGAACAGTAGGAGCGAAGGAGGCACTAGTGCGGACCCTACTCTAACCTACGCTACCGGCGGGAGAGAGAGCGGCTACCAGCCGCTGAATGGTAGTCCGATGGCAGTAGGGCTGTGAAGGGCCCCGCGCACAAGGTAGTGGTGGGGCTAGGGTTTGCAACGAACGGTGTGGGCGGTTTAGGGCGGTTGAGTGCGGTGTATGGCGGTTTGCGGCGGTTTAGGGCGGTTTAGGGCGGTTGAGTGCGGTTGAAGGGCGGTATAGGGCGGTTTAGGCGAGGGCGGGCGCCTAAGGCCCGAAGTGGCGGGCGCCTAAGGCGCTGGCTGGCGGGCGCCTAAGGCGCTGGCTGGCGGGCGCCGAAGGCGCTGGGTGACGGGCGCCTAAGGCGCGACGTGGCGGGCGCCTAAGGCGCGACGTGGCGGGCGCCTAAGGCGCGACGTGGCGGGCGCCTAAGGCGCGACGTGGCGGGCGCCTACGGCGCGACGTGGCGGGCGCCTACGGCGCGACGTGGCGGGCGCCTACGGCGTGACGTGGCGGGCGCCTGAGGTGCAACGTGGCGGGCGCCTGAGGGGCGGGGTGGTGGGCGCCTAGGACGCGAACGGGCAGGCGCCTAGGGCGCGGTCGCGAGAGCGCCTAAGGTGCGGGCTGGAGGGCGCTTAGGGGCGCGGGCTGGAGGGCGCTTAAGGGCGCGGGCTGGAGGGCGCTTAGGGGCGCGGGCTGGAGGGCGCTCAGGGGCGCGGGCTGGAGGGCGCTTAGGGGCGCGGGCTGGAGGGCGCTTAGGGGGCGCGGGCTGGAGGGCGCTTAGGGGCGCGGGCGAGAGGGCGCTTAGGGGCGCGGAGGTCCTAGAAGGTAACCTAGCGTGATACCATCTCAAAGTAGCTTAGCGGAATGATTGGATTAGGGTTGTGAAAGCATACAAGTAGGATACCTAACAAAGTGTTGTACTCCCTAAGGAGCAACTCACTACAGCCTATCACAAATATAACATTTGACAGAAGCGTGGAGCAACTTAAGAAAGTGGTTTTTGTCTGAATAAAATGGGACAAAGCTAGTACAAGTTTATTATACAAATGACGCAGGATTTTGTTGGGGACTTAGGAAGTGGTGGAGTGTGGCCGAAACAAAATGGGTTGTAGTTGTACCTAGTTTGAAGTATATCCGTTATAGTGGTGGCATGTGCATCAGGTACTTGTTTGTACGTCCCGCCAGCAGCGAGTCCATCACTCGCGAAGCTTCTGCCATCACTGCCTCGTCGTCCTTTTCTCTGATCGTTCGTCGTCGCACCTCGCCGCCATGGCTAACGAATATGGGCCTCTGTCCATTATCATCTCTGCCACGTCAGCCGTCGCATCCGCCACGTCACCTCTCCGCCAGTTCATCTGGTCGGCTGTGCGCCTTCAGCTTTTCCTCGCCTCCACCTGCCTTTCCGCCATCTGCGCGCTTCCACTGCTACCCTTCCGCCTGCTCTCCGCCGCCCTTCGCGAGAACAAGGTGCGCGCAGGGGGGCGTGCCGGATGGCAAAGGCAGGTCGGATTTCGCAGCAAGAACGCGCGCAGTAAGGCGGCGGGGAGCTTGCGGGTTCCCTTTTCCCCAGATCCGTCCTCACCACACTCGACCTTGCCTCTCGCTTCTCCTCGTCGCACTCCACGTGCAGCCAGCCCGGTGTGCCGCCCGCCGCATGGGCACATGAGCGGTCGTTACAACCCGTTCGCCCCCTCGCCTCGCCGTGCAGATCTCCCCGTCCCCGCGCCTTCCCTTCACCTCATCCCCTCCGCTGACCCCCATCCCTCTTCGCCTCTTCTCCATCCGCCCTCCTCGCCAAGACGCGTCGCACGAGTCTTGCTACCGCCTTCGCCTTCGCCTTCGCCTTCGCCTTCGCCTTCGCCTCCAACTTTTCTCTCCCGGCCTCCCTGCCCCCCGTTCTCCCCCCGCCCCCCTTCTCCTCGTGCCCTCCCCCTCCCCCCCAGATGCGCGCAAGCCTAGCGGAGGCGCAGCAGCAGGGCGGGTACTGGCGCGAGGCGGCGGCGGCGCTGCAGCAGCGCGCGAAGCGGGAGGAGGCGGCGAGGGAGGCGAGCGAGGCGGCGGCGCGCGAGGCGGCGACGCGGCTGAGGAAGGCGCTATCGCAGCGCGCGCAGCTTAAGGAGTGCCTCCAGCGCGCCGTGCGCGAGGTGCGCGGAAAGGAGGGGGGAATGTGGGTGGAGAGATGGAAGCGGGGAGGTGGGGGTGGTGGGGGTTTGGGGAAGGTGTTGGCGCCGGGGCTAGGGTGAGTAGTGGTGTAGTGCAGCGCGCAGGGGTGGGAGGGTGGAAGTCGGAGTGAGTGGGGAGATATGGGCGAGAGAGAGAGTCGACATGCCATGTGGGGGACTGCCTCTCCACACTCTCCCCTCCTTCACTCGCCCCCCGCCTCATCCGTCTTCTCCATCTCTTCTACTCCTTTGTTTATTCGCCCCTCTCGCCCTCCCTATGCCCAATTGCTCCCTTCCCTTTGTGTTTTTTCTTCATGCAACACCATCCCGTCGTGCCGTCCTAATTGCACCCCAACACCACCTTCCGCGGGGCACATCAGCTGGGCGAGGAGGCGGCGGCGCGGCAGGAGGCAGAGAGGGCGCTGGCGAGGGAGCGCCACCGCGGTGCGCGCCTGCATGCCGACCTGCACGCCTCGAAATCGCGCTGCTCTCAGCTCCAGGCTGACCTGGCGGCTGCCAGCCTGGCACTCGGGCGGCTGAGGGAAGAGCTGGCGGCGGCGACTCAGCGGCTGACGGCGTGCCAGGTGGCAGCGGAGGAGGCAGCAGCAATGGAGGAGAGGCGAGGGGGGTTGAGTGGGGGGGAGGCGGTGTGGGGTGGCGGGGGGGGCGATGAGCAGGATGCGAGCAGGGGCAGGGAGGGGAGAGGGCAGAGGGGAAGGCGTGGGCGTGGGGGTCAAGTGGGGGGGACGACGAGGGTGTTTCAGGGGCGGGGAGAGGTGTGGCAGGGTGAGGAGGAGGGTGAGGGGAGTGAGGGAACTACGTCTGCATGCACCACCACCTCCTCCGGTTCACACGCCCCCACTGCCACGCCACCCCCCTCACATCGCTCCTCCTCGCCTGCTCTCCCCCCATCACAACACCCCCAGCCCCACACGCTGGCCCTCGCCAAGGAGCCCCTGTTGTGGCGGGCAGCCCTCAAGTCCACTGCGGCTGCACTGCTGCTCGCCACGCTGCTGGCGCTGCTCGCCTGCATGCAGCCGCATTGCTGCCCGCCCGCCCTCCTCACGCTGCTCGCCCTCACTGCCCTCGCTGTGCTGCTCTCCGCACTCGCCCTCGCCCTCGCCATGCCCTCCCGCCGCCCCTCTGCCTCGCCCGCTCTCTCCCCCGCCTCCTACCGCGCTCGCATGGTGGCAGAAGCAGCGGTGGCAGCGGTGCCGCTCCTCTGCGCCTGCTGGTTCGCCCTCGGCCTCCTCCTGCACTCCATGCCCCCCTGGCCTGCCGTCTCAAAGGCACTCTACTCGCATGCCCCCGCCTCGCTGGAACGTGCAGTCTCAAGTTTCTGGTTTTCTCCCTGCAGTGCTGCTCGCCCATAAGATGAGATTCAAGGCATTGGTTGGGTAGAGGCAATAAACAGCCGTTTGCCCATCAACACGCACCGCTCGTCTGTTGCCATGGCTCCGCACGGTTTGCCCTGTCCTCTCTGTACATATGCTATGACCATGGCATCACGTTCATTCTTCACCAGGTTGTGGAGACTCGGACTGGTGTTGTTGGGCTGGAAAAGGCCCTTAGGAACTTTTCAAGGCTAAGACCACGAGTAGGAATGTTGTAATTGCAGAAGCGTTCTTAGTGAACTTGTTGAACTAACTTGCACTAGTGTGCGGGAACAAGCGATTGATTATACGGTAGCAAGGGAATACGAAGGCTTTTATAAGATTACAAGGAATATGAAAGGGTGTAAACTGTCAAATGTTGTAGCCTGTAGTGAGGTTTGTCTTAGGGGGTACAAATGTTGGGGTTTGCTATATGTACCCCAACCCTCATAAAAAACACAACACTTGCATTCTTGACATGGTATCACCTAGGTTAGGATCCTGTGGGATCCCGCTCCTCCCGTCCTCGTTCGTTCCGCCCGAGCCTGTCTCTCTTTCTCGTACTAGTCGTACCCGTCTTGCCCGAGCCTAGCGCCGGCCCGATCCAGTCTCCCTCGTTCGTTAGCGCCCGCTCCGCCGACCTGCTTTCCGCGTAGCGTAGCGTCGCGCCCGCTCCGCCGACCTGCTTTCTGCGTAGCGTAGCGCTCTCCCCGGCTTCCCGTCCCATCACGCCCTCCCCCGCTGCTCGTCGCGACGTGCCCTCCCACCCTACCCGTCGCGTCTCGTCCTCCCCCCGCTGCCCCAAACGCCCGCTCGCGCGCCGCGCCTATCGCCGCGGCGCCCTTTTTTTCCGTCGCCGCAGCGCCCCGCGTTTCGTCGCCGCGGCGCCCCGCATTTCGTCGCCGCGGCGCCCCGCGTTTCGTCGCCGTGGCGCCCTGCATTTCATCGTCGCAGCGCCCCGCGTTTAGTCGCCGAGGCGCCCCGCATTTCATCGCCGCGGCGCCCCGCATTTAGTCGCCGCGGCGCCCCGCATTTCGTCGCCGCGGCACCCCGCTCTTCCCGTCGCCGCGCCTGCTCGTTAGGCCCGCTGCGGGCCCTTCCTTACAGCCGTCGCGGGCCCTCTTATAGCCGCCGCGCCTGCCCGTACCGCCCGCCGCCGCGCCTGCTAGTTAGGCCCGCCGCGGGCCCTCCCTTACAGCCGCCGTGGGCCCTCCCTTACAGCCGCCGTGGGCCCTCCCTTACAGCCGCCGCGCCTGCCAGTTCCGCCAGCCGCCGCGCCTCCTCGTTAGGTCCGCTACGGGCCCGCTCGTTAGGCCCTTCCTTCGCACCACTGCGCCTACTCGTTCAGTCCGCCGCGGGACCGCCCCTGGCCCCATTGCGCCCGTCACGGACTTGCCCTAGCCGCCAACCGTCCCTACCAGTGCCACCCACCGCCGGACTTGTCGCTTCTACTTACACTATGGGGACCCCTAGGGTTCTTCGGTTTGACGCTGACGATAGACCGCTGGAGTTTCCGGTCTAGCTCCTACGCGCGCGTCACCTTTTAGAGAGTCAGGTTCAGGCGGGCGAGTCCCTTTGGGCGCACGCTACTGGTGACCTTCCACTGCCCGACGACCCTACGCCTTTAGGCCCTGCCCCTGACGACGCAGCCAGGGACCGCTTCACCCGCCAGCGTGTTGACCTGACGGCGTGGAAGTCACGTGACGCTGCGGCCTGCATTGCTCTTAGCGGCCTCCTCCGTGAGTCTAAGGAGGCCCACTTCACTCATGTTCGCACTGCTAGTGAGTTCCTGATTGCGATTAAGGCCTGCTATGCTACTCCCACCAGTGTCTCTCTTGGCCGACTCTTCCTACCGTTCCTGTTCCCTGACCTCGCCTCTTTTGAGCGCTCTGCTGACTTGATTGCTCACCTCCGCTCGCTTGATTTTAGCTACTGCGCTGCTTGCAGTGAGGCACAGCTTGCACTGCTTCCTCCCCCCATGGCGATTACTATCTATTTCATCGCCACTAGCCTCCCTGACTGCCTTGCCTCAGTCCGTGACACGCTTCTTCTGAAGCACCCTAGTGAGCTGACTATCGAGGTCCTTCAGTCTGCGCTCAAGGACGTCAAAAGCAACCTCCGCTCCGTAGCCTCTGCCTCTAATGCTGTGCCCCCTCCACTGTTCCACGGGTGCACTGTCCCTCAGCTGCCCACCTTTACGGCCTCTCTAGCCACTACTGCTACTGACGTGACCGTAGCTGCTATTACGACTTCTTCGCGGTCTCGAGGCAGAGATGGCAAGAGGGGCGGACAGGGTACAGGTGGCGGCGGCGGTGGAGGCGTTGGCGGCGGAGGTGGCTGGGGTAGCGTGTAGACTGGTGGTAGAGGGAAGGCAGGGCCTGGAGAGGCGTCTCGTGCAGCGGCCAGTGACTCCCCTAATGCAGCTGGTGGAGGCGACACCTCGGCTTGTCAGCCACCTTCTGGTCTACCGGCCGTGCCGAGTGGAGCAGCGGCGTGGTACCTGGCCCAGCGGCAGCAGCAGCCCCTCCCCTCGCAGTAGCCTTGCAGCAGCAGCAGGTTTCGGGGCCAAGACAGCACCGGCTCTAGCGAGGTGTTGTTCACCCTTCGTGCACCTATCAGCTTTTGATAGGTGCTCGCCGAGGCCATCCTTGTGGCCGCACTCACCCTCCTGGTCAGTGCTTTGCTTAGCTCACTGACACAGTTCGCTTGGCCTTCGGTTTGCGGTTCAGTACGCCGCGCATCAGCTCAACCTTCAGCCCCGGGTCTCCTTGCCAGAGACCTCCCCCGCCTTGCGGTGGACCGGGAAGGTTGGCGATCCGTCTACGTTTCGGGTCTAGGGATCTCGGGCGTTTGTCCGCGACTTGTCTGCGGACAAGCTGTCCCCCCGTGCTGTTCCTTGCGTCTTCCTTGGCATCCCCCCTGACGCGCCTGGCTGGCAGTTTTACCACCCCACCTCGCGCCGTGTTCTGTCCTCCCAGGACGTCACCTTTGACGAGTCAGTACCTTACTACCGTCTCTTCCCCTACCGCACTACACCTCTCCCCCCGCCGCTGCTCTTCCTTGCACCAGGTCCTCCCCTAGTAGACCCCATCCCCCCTCAGGGTCCTGCCCCGTCAGATGTGTCCCAGGTAGACGCACTCGAGCCTGTCGAGGTAGCTATTGACTCTGGTGCTGCTAGAGGAGCTGAGCCTGCGGGTGCTGGGTCAGGGGGTGCTGAGATTGGGGGTGCTGAGACTAGGGGTGCTGAGTCTGGGGGTGCTGGGCCTGGGGGTGCTGGGTTTGGGGGTGCGGAGCCTAGGGGTGCGGATCCTGGAGGTGCGGAACCTGGGGGTGCCGAGCCTGGGGGCGCTGGGTCTGCTCGTGTGGCCACCGGCGGTCCTTCGTCGAGGCGGGAGCCGCTCTCTCCACAGGAGCTGCGCGAGTGGTTTGCCCGCCGCTGGAGACGTGCTGCTGAGACTGGGGGTGCTGCTGAGGCTACTGGAGTTGGTCCTGCTGGAGCTGCTGGCGGTACTGTTGCTATTGGAGCTGGAGCTGCTAGGGGTGTTGGCGCTGATGTTTCTATTGGCGCTGGTGCGTCTGGGGGTGCTGCTGACGCTGCTGGAGCTGACAGTCCTACTAGACCTAGTGCTGCTGGGGGTGTTGGCGCTCGTGGTGCTGCTGGCGCTGGTGCTTCTAAGGGTGCTGGAGTTGGCGCTGGTGGAGCTGGAGGTACTACTGGCGCTGGTGCTGCCGCGGGGGTAACTGGTGCCGTCCTTGCTGGTTCTGGAGGCGCTGAGCGGCCGAGGCCGTACTTCGTTCCGCTCCTGGAGCAGGTTCTTGGTCTCTCGCCCTCTCCTGGTCCTCCTCCTTCCTTAGAGTGTCCACAGCCTGTCCAGTCGCAGTCACAGTTACAGCCCGCCTCCCCTCTACCTGCTCCTTCTCCCTACACTGGTCCTACTGGCGGTCTTGCTGAGCGTCGTGAGCCTGCGTCTCGTCCTGCGTTGCCTGTTCGTGCTGCTCGCACTAGTTGTCGTGTTGCGCGTCCGCGTCCTCCTATGGTCCCCGGCACACACCAGATGGCACTGCGTCCTTCCACTGCTCCTCTGTGTGTCCCGTTGCCATCTCCTCCAGAGTCCTCTATTCCTATTCTTGCTGACCCGGAGTCTGACTCCCTTTGTGCTGCTAGTCCTTCGGTCACGCGCCTTCTTGATACTGTTGTCACTGACCCTTCCTTTGAGTCCATTGCTGCGTCTGCCCTAGTTGCTGAGCTTGTCGACTTGGCTGCTTGCTGTCGTCTAGACTACGCTGCCGGTCTAGTCTGTCTGTCCTCCGTCCGTCGGGGGTGAGTGTGCTCTTAGCACGGACGTTCTTGAGGACAGGCAGGAGGAGTTCCAGTGCTTTGCTGCTGCTTTGCCCCATCTTGTGTCCACGCTGATTGCCCCTCAGGGAGACCCAGATGCACCAGACATCCCGACTCCTCGATCGTACGCTGAGGCGATCGAGGGTCCCTACTCCTCTCAGTGGCAATCAGCCATGGACGCAGAGATGGCTTCCTGGAAGTCCACAGGCACCTACGTCGACGAGGTTCCCCCACTTGGGGCGAACATCGTCAATGGCATGTGGATTTTCAGGGTGAAGCGGCCGCCAGGTTCTCCGCCTGTCTTCAAGGCGCGTTACATGGCTTGAGGCTTCAGTCAGCGGCAGGGAGTTGACTACTTTCAGACCTTCTCTCCCACCCCGAAGATGACCACCCTTCAGGTGCTGCTGCACATAGCTGCTTAGCGCGACTACGAGCTTCACTCTCTTGACTTCAGCACAACTTTCCTGCAGGGCAGCCTGCACAAGGAGATCTGGCTGCGCCGCCCTCCTGGCTTCACTGGGTGGTTTCCTCCTGGTACCCAGTGTAGCCTTCGGCGGCCAATCTACGGTCTCCGCCAAGCGCCCCGTGGGTGGCACGATACACTGAGGACTACACTTGCGGCTCTTGGGTTTGCTCCTTCTATAGCTGACCCGTCGCTGTT